AGTACACCAAAGAGTGTGCTGATCAAGTTATCCAGTCACTTGGTAGGTTCCATCAGTGATCATTATTAAGCTACATGTGCTGCTTTTGGATGTGCTTTGATTGCAAAAATCACATATTTTCTGACTTTTGAAGTAGATTTCAAGTGATTCATGTTACGTCATTCAAGTTTCTCTACTGCTTGTGGATTATTGATTCCATTTGCAGTTCTTTTTCGACGACATTTCTGGATCTACTTGAGCCAGGACCATGTTACTTGAAATTGGACACTTGCTTTTACCTCTAGTAATCTCCGTGCATGCGATGATGGTGCTAAGCATCTTTTACAACTATATTTCATTTGTCTGTTTGTGATATGTATCTATGCATTTTTTAGTAGTAGATTTGTTCGGTTTCTCAGTTTTCTTATTTCATCAGTATCAATTACTTTTGGAAGCTGTTAATTCTTTTTAGGCACTATATTTTTATAGTCCAGTGCAATGAGGAATTAGTAAGCCTTTCAAATTCTAGCTGCTTATTGTGGCTTGGACATGTTTTTTTATCTTTTGTGCTTGCTTATATTCTGGACCTGTGTACAATTTTGATAAACTAGGTTCAAAGCCATCCATTGTTTTGTTTGCACTTACATAGAAGTTTGATTTAGCACATTGCTATGCTTTTCTGTTTATTCTAGGTTCCCAAAGAGAGTGTAATTAGAATTTTGGAGTTACAGAGACCTGAATTAAGTCATCAAATACTGACGACTTATAGTGGTCATTTAAGTCCATTTTTAATAAAGCTGATACTGATTTTTACTTGTGCGCTTGTTCTTGGCTGCAGGCATTGATGTTAAGCAGGTAGAGAAATGTGTTGGAGATCCTGATGCAGATATAGACAACCCTATCCTAAAGGGCGAACAAGAGTCACAGGTTCATACTTTTGAGATTTATTCTATCATTTTATCTCAGTTATGTCTGTGGAAAATAATGAATTACCTTGGATTTTTTTTTTTTCGAATTCCTGCTTCCAGATAGGCAAAGGCTCCCGTGGAGATGTGACTATCTTGCCTACCCTTGTCATAAACAACCGGCAGTATAGAGGTATGAATCCTAGAATGACGTCATTACTAAGTTAAGCAGCCGTTTCATAACCTGTTGAGGTATCCGTATAAAACAATCTAACCCTTTAACTTTAACCTGTAGGTAAGCTAGACAAAGGAGCTGTTCTTAAAGCCATATGTGCAGGATTCCAGGAGACCACAGAGCCAGCCATTTGTCTGACTGAAGGTGATCTCCTTTAGCATTTAACTTTTGGGTGCCATTCATTCTTGATTTTGCTTTTAAAGGCAATGGAGTTTTTCATTTTATTTGCATTTTTTCGGTCAAGTTTGATCCTCGTACTGATGATGATAATCACTGTTAAAATTTGGTTTGCACCTGTTTTGTTTAATATTGATGCTTATTGTAATTCATCTGTAAGAGGACCATTAGCATTTGAGGACACCTTCTCTGATGCTGCTTTGATGGGGAGTAGCTTCTTTTATTTGTTTTTTCTCCTCTTATATATTGTTGTAAGTCTTGTTCTTTTTGAAGTTACTGAGTTCAAATTTTGGTTTGATGTCTGATCAAAGGACTAAATGGTTGGACAATAATGGCGTAAAATATGAGATCACCCAATGATTGAGGATGTTTACAGGATCAGTGGTCTCCTTGACTGGAACTTACTCAAGTATCTTTTTTGCTTCTTACCTTGCAGAGATAGAGACAAATGAGTGCTTGGAGAATAATGGTGGATGCTGGCAGGATAAGGCAGCTAATATTACTGCTTGCAAGGTAAGATGCTGTTTGTGGATCCATTGATCGAAGGACTTGTCTTTGTGGACGTTGTAGGTCCTCTAATTTTTATGACCTATATTTTGTAGGATACTTTTCGTGGGAGGGTATGTGAGTGCCCAATTGTGCAAGGAGTAAAATTTGTTGGTGATGGTTACACTCATTGTGAGGGTAAGACCTATAAAAGTTTTGATATCGTTACATCTAAATACGCATCTTAAGGGACTCATGGCTTAAGCGTTGCATGATTTGTGGGTGCAATCACCATAGAATTGTGTTGTTTGTGTTAATTTAACAGCTTCTGGAGCACTGCGTTGCGAACTAAATAATGGGGGCTGTTGGAAGGGAACAAAGGATGGGAAAACATATTCCGCTTGCATTGTAAGTGGTTCTACCTTTGTTAGCACATGTTCATTACATGATCAGTCAATTGGACTTTGAATTTGTTGTTTTCCCCCTTGCTGTCAATTAAGAAGCAATTTCTAACTTCTATAAAGATATTGGTATTTCATAGAAGTAGAATGTCAAATTTACTATTGCATGTTGTTTTGTCTTTTGTTTAGGATGGACAGACTAAGGGTTGCACTTGTCCACCTGGATTCAGGGGTGACGGAGTTAAAAGTTGTGAAGGTAGGGCTTTATGTTCATTTTTTGTACATTGACAGGTTGGGGATGACTCCTGGAAAGGACATGTTGTAACCATTGTTTCGTTCTTGTCTGTGTTGTCATCAACGTAGTGCATTAAAGGCACTTGGAAGTAGTTTAACCCTTTTTGCTTGATGTTTTTAACTGCTCCGCATGCGGGGCAGTTGGGGGTAAATAGACCTGGAGCAGAATTATCCTTGTTGTAATGCTTGTGCAAAGCCTCCCTACAAGTCATGTGCAATCTGAATTCCCTTGCATTACTTTGTTGTGGTTTATGGATAGTCCTCCATCCCTCTCTTGGTAAGTTTGCTGCGCTAGTTCAGAATAACAAGAAAATACTTCAGTGTTGAATCTTCATCAATGGATTTGTAGGTTTGCATGCTAAGATAATAATTGAATTGGTGTCCTTATTTGGCAAAAGGTTGATTTTTATTTTATTTTTTAAATATTTTTTGCATCTAAAAGCTTAATCGTTATAAACGAGAAGCAATTTATGCCTTGTTGAATAACCAGAGTAAACCATTACAGTGGGGCCTGCCAAAGTATATTGGAAAACAAGGATGTTATGGCTATTTGATAATCTAGCTAATTAGCTGAGAGCAATTGGAAAACAATCTATCTTGTATTTTGAGGATTTGCAAGTTTTTTGATATTAAAAGATCAATGTTGCAGTGACAAATACTAATAAGAATGGATGTTTTTGTTAAACTAGTATTTGAAGTGAGGAGCTTATCCATGTGATCCTGTATGGTACTCCTCTTGAGTGTTGATATTTTATGCAACACATATGCCTTTAATCAGGATTTCAAGCTGATTGACTGACTTTGTGAAATGACATCAGCTTTATTGCCGTTAAATATTTCATGTGCTACAGATATTGATGAGTGCAAGGAAAGGGCGGCGTGCCAATGTCCAGAGTGCAGATGCAAAAACACCTGGGGTAGTTATGACTGCAGTTGTAGGGGCAACTTATTGTACATGCATGAACATGACACATGTATAAGTGAGTTCTATATATATATATATATCTTTCTTTCTTTTAGTTTGGGAAGCTTTTGGCTATCTCAGGTGGTTATGTTTGAAACTGTATGGAAAGGCTTTTAAAATATTTATACTGCTCTGTTGTTGACTCTTGATTGTTTTGTGTTTTGTGGAACCTGATCATCGCTGCATTGCCCGCTTTGATGGACAACTTACTTGCAGGTAAAGATGTGAAAACGGATTTCAGCTGGAGCTTTATTTGGGTTATTATCCTTGCCGTGGCTGCTGTAGGAGCAGGTGGATATGCTATGTACAAGTACAGGATCCGGGTATGTGCGAATAACAAATTGTGTTCTCTGACGGCGGATCAAATTTTTTTTTTTTTTTTTTTGTTCTCTCTTCTTGGGTCGCTACTTGTTCTTTTGACCGTGGTGAAAAGAAATATGTGATATGATGGTTTTGCAGAGATACATGGATTCTGAGATCCGGGCAATCATGGCACAGTACATGCCGTTGGATAACCAAGGAGAGGTGCCTCTTCATAATCCTCATGGAAATGTGTGATGATGGGGAGAAATCAGCATTTATTTCTTGAAGGGCCTACCTACCACTCTCGCTTCTTTCTCCAGTCCTACTTATTGCAAGTATGTATGGTCATATTTTATGTACATGTAAATCCTCACTTTGGGCATAAAATCCCAGTGAATCGGGAGATTTTCTTTAGTCTCTGTATGCTTATACATTACTTACATATATTAGATGTTGTGATGACTTAATCGAGATTTCAAACCCCCCCTTTTTCCCCAAACAAGTTTTCAGTACCTTCTGTGTCTGTTTTCTGTAATCCGATACAAAACTGGTGAAAAATAGAGAAGAAGAAGAAAGATGACGACTTGAGGACTGGGTCCGTCGTCTCTTCTAAGCTTCAATGGGCTAGAAAATTCTTTTAGGATTGGGGGGGATATTTGATTTGGTTTAATGAATCTGGTAAAATGAAAGCTGTAGATCATATCATCCCCCCACACGTTAGGAGCCTAATCGAATGGTACTAGTAATTTTGTTTGTACCTTAAAAGAGCAGTGGAATACTCCTGTGACGGACGGAGATTTATGGTGCATTTTAAAGGTTCTTTTCTTCTTCTGGGATGGGGATGATGAGGGCCATCCATCCCTTGCAAAAATAAAATAAAATAAAATGAACAAAACCACCGCAATTTGATAGATTTTTCTTCTCCGAGAAGAAGAAGAGTCCTCCGGTCGGTCTAAATTGTTTTGAAAAGACGCCCATTTCTTGCCTGCGGCTCGGCACACTGCTTCAGATGGTTCTGCTTCGATTTCTCACTCCCAACATTTTAGAAAGAATAAAACTACAGCACTATTATTATTTATAATTTGATGCATGTAAAATAGAAGCATGATTAAATTTTTCCAAATAACACGTGAAAAAACCATTCACCAAGGTTCTTATTTTTTTTTATTTTTTAAAAAAGCATGGTCAAATCCATCATTGTCACTCCGATTTATTCACTTTCTGAGAATCGCGGGAAAAAAAGGAAAAAATCTTTCTAGCTTCAGAAAACTTCTTTGTATTATAGCAATCCATAGCAAATAAACCAAGCTTGAAGTAGATTACAGCTCGAGGACATTAGTTTCTGGACATCCTGATTTACACGCAAAAAGGTTACAAGCCGCTTAGCCGTCAGTGTAAGAAAAGAGCATCCTCCATTTTATTTGGGGGGTCAGAGTCGTATTCTCAAGAGCTAAACAAGGCACATGATACGATCACTTCACCAAAGAACCACTCTGTTACTCTGCAAACTCTGTCCACCTTAAAATTATATTCAAGGACGCTGGAACAAGCCACAGTTTATACAGCAGCAATGTTTGGTGTACTATCAGAGCATTATCCAGCAACTTTTGACTGAGAACTCAGTTCCAATTTCCGCTTCGCTTCCTCAACCACATGAAACTGAAGCATCCTGAATGAAAAAGAAAACAAACGATAGCATGCATGTCATTACAATTCCCAAGAAAAGATGCAGCAATCATCAATAATCAACCTCCTTGCTCCATACCTTCAGCTATTTTTTTTTTTTTTTTTTTTTTTTTTTTTAAGGTTACTTTTTGGATAGGTCATCTACAACAACATCCAAATGAACCACCTCACATGTATCATATCAAAGTTTGAAATGCTATCTGCACTTACCTTGTGAGAAAATTAACTTTCTGTCCCTCTTTCCAAGTTTGATGCTTGTGCTTGCCCGCGATCCATTATAATCCTATAAGCATAGAATGCAACTGCCACACCACTGCATATATAAACTGGTTGGAAAATGTACCTTCTAAAGATAGCAAGACACTACTGACAGAAGTTATTTGTTAAAACTATTTGCAAAATTTGCGAAGATCCCATCAACTCAATTTTCTTCATTCCACCCACCTTGTTTTTTTACCTAAATATCATGTCTGTAAAACGGAATATTAATTTTTATAAAGTTGATTCAATCATGCGTATCAGTTCAATCATGTGTATCATCCTTCACCTTTCGTAAAACTTAAGGTTGAAGATGACATGAAAGAGCACTAATAAAACCACAATCAAGGAACAGGACACAAGACCTGCTTCACAGAAAATTAGAAGTTCCTCCATTATGCTTTAAGAAAAAAGAGAGGATACGAAACCTGACAAATGCTGTGATGAAGTTGGCAATAAATGGTCTCTGCAAGGAACATGAGCATCCATTCAGACATTATACGGGGAAATATGCATTCTCAGAACTTTTAGTCATTTAAGCAATAAGAAGATGCATCAGCAGTGAGTGAGATCTTACACAAAACAGCAAGCGTACTTCCCGTAGAAATAATATTGTACAAATTGCTGCAATCAAATTGAAAAAAAAAAAAAAAAAAACACAAGTCAATGCAGCAAATGACGTACTAATAAGTACACACAGTAGAACAACGATCTAAACATTTCTAATGATATTGCCAAAAATACATATCAAATACTTAAAATTTAGCCTAACTTCCCTAGATTCATACACATTGTATGTTTAGAAGAAACAAAAACAGTGCCAACTCCTGCTTAAAATTACATCAAGGAAGATTAGGGAAATGATTTTTCAAAGTGTCATAACCAGAAAATAAAACAGGATTTTTGGGATAGTTCAGCTAAAGAAGATAAAAACATAACAATAGGGAAAAAAGGAGGGAAAAAAAAAAGATAAGTCTTTATGCAACACACAATCATCTTTATCAAGACTAAGATACATTTAACTGCCAATATTTAGGCAGATGGATGAATTATGTAGAGTCACATTGAAGATCCAAAAGTAGCTAATCTCAGCGAATATACTCTTCCGAATCATTGGGCAAAATTAATTTACTCAAGTCATCCCAGTCGCATGATTAAACTTGGCTCAAAGCAATGCAAAGAGACATCTGACAATATCTAAGCAGTAGTTAAACGTCTTTCAAGTCAAGCCCACAGCAATTGTCTGCTCGGTGACAGATAGATTGAGTTAAAGAAACAATAAACCAACCTGCCTGCCCTTTTAAGGCCAGAGAAGATGATTCTCCTTTCTTCCACGATCTTAAACTTGAGATACTTAGGGCCAAAAGAGCACCGCCAAGTATAACACCAAACCTTACAGCAGAGACACTTCCGGTGAACATGAAAGAAAGAAAGCCGCCAGCAGAAAGAAGCGCACCTGGAAAGAGGAAGCGATTTGATCAAGCAGTCAGACGGTTCTGCAATATATCAGCTTAATCCGAGTTTGAAGACCAAGAATAATTTATACTTGAGCATAGAAAATGAGGGGAAATGATACTGCAACTATGGGGACAGATGACATCTGCAGAATAAGCTTTCTGGCAATAGAGATGTAGACGCATACCATATGGTATTCCTAGGTAAAAGTCACGCATTTTAGAAACTTCCTTCAAATCATCAGTGGAGGCAGCAAACGTTTCGACGATGTCCTTTACGGGCTCGGGATAATTGTCAGCAGCATTAGACAGGTATTCCTTACCCTCCTGGCTGATTTCCGAGGCAATCACGCTCAACTCTTGTCTTGCCTTCTCGGCTTGAACTTTTAATTTCTCAGAAGTTTCTTTTAAAATGACCCTAGCTCTGTCAGAGTACACTTGATAAGCTTCTTGCGATACGGTCTGCATCTTGAGGGCTTGTTCTTTGAAAGAAGATAGAGTTTCTTTCCAGGCATCCTGTGGTTCGTCAGCTTCCTTTTCAAGATCATTGGTTTCCTTCTCCACCTCAATGCTTGTAGGCTTCTGGAAAGGAAGATGATCGAAATAAGAAGGACGAAGAGATATAACAGAGACTAGACCGAGTATAGAGAACGAGACAAATATACAAATATATCAAGAACAAAGACGGACGAGTAGTCAAAGCAGCTAGAGGAATGGAGCACAAGACAAAGCATTGAACATTTCTGGAACGGAAAGAATAAATGTGGTTTTTTTTTTTTTTTGGGATAAAGAGGAGAGAGGGGGGGGGGGGGGGGGTGTTGTCTAGATGCTATTGACTCCTGGGAAGGGGAAGACACCACCTCATCAAATGCGGTTTTCGTGAGAAAAAGTTTTTTCACAATTAAATGCTTCAGCGTCGAGACTCAAACTTTTAGTGAGTGTTTTGCGAGAACGCCGCCCACAAAACCCCCATCCCTACCACATCCCCACAACAACCCCCCCCCCCCCCCCCCCCCCGGGGGCACAAAAAAAAAAAACAAAACACACAAACACCGCAAACCCAAAAAAAAAAAAAAAAAAATAGAGAGAAGTGTTTTGTGGGGGTGTTTTGGGGGGAGGGGGTGGGGGTGGGGGGTATGCAAAACAGTGATATGTTTCCTGGCGGTAGAATAGGATAAATTCAAGCATGAAACAGAAACCAGGGCAAAGATCGAATGATGGTGAGAAAAAAACTTGTGTGGATGGACAAGCTTTTTTTTTTTTTTTTTTGGTTTCGTTTCTGGGGGTGGGGAGAGGGAAAGGAGAGAGTATAGACTGACCGAGGAATCGTCGTGAGAGGCGGTGAAAGAGAAAAGCAAAGCGGGGGGGCGGCGCAACGGAGGAAGTCGGAGGCCGAGCGGAGGCGGCGTAAAGGAGAGGAGCCGCGGAGGATGACGGAAGGCAGGTGAAAGGGAGGGAGAGGGGTGAATAGTGAAGGAAGGCATTGGCGGAGTTGGAGCTGGAGTATAGAAAGGGTTAGGTGAAAGGTTAGATATAGGGTGAAGAATCCCTAATACTACTGATTTCATATGCTTTACTATTATTATTATTTTAAGTTTGGGGGAGGCCAAAAAAAAAATAAAAGAAAAAATCGTGCTGTTGGCTCCGTCTCTCAGAATAATCAATCTTAATCTTCTGTAGATGATGATAACGAGGGTGGGGGTGGGCAGGGAAGGCAGTGGAAGGGAGGGAGGGCACAGCGGTTACTGCAGAGCTGTCGGGGAGGAAGGATCCGTTCGCGGCGGCTAGTTGGCGGTGGTGGGCTCTCGTGTAGTACAACTCCTCCTCCTAGTAGGCTAGTACTAGTAGTAGCGGTAGTGGCAGCAATGGTACTGTAGTATTTTAATAGCGGTGGTGGAAATGGTACATGCTGCTGCATAGTCAGTCTACCAGTTCCCTAAAACTCATTCTTTTTTTTTTTTCAAAAAAAAAAAAAAAAAAAAAGGTTGTTTGTTGGGGGCACCGGTCCGGCCCAATGCCAAAGGGCCGATTCTGATTCTGGAGTTCTCTGAACACAACGACGCTTCACTGTGTAGTAGTACTATACTTTTATATATAAATTAAATAAATAAAAAAATCAAATCAGAGCATATGTATCATCGCTTTGGTGACACGTAACGTAATGAAACCCTTTTTTTTTTTTGGTCTCGACTCTCTGGCCGCTTAAATTTTGCCCTTTTCGTCCTTTATTAGTGTATTATTACTACTGCTAACACAGAGTACTTTGCTTGCAGCAGATCTTTTATTAGCAGATTATTATGGTTTTCCCCTCGAGTGATGATTAATTGGAGTTGGTTACGTATACAATTACCAAGGCAGAGAGCAAAACACCAACATAAATAGAAAATGAAATTCAAAAAAAGAGGGCTAAATAGTTGTATGAATTTTTTGACCTGACGATAATTACATCATCGCCATGCATGCACATGCAGTAATTGATCTCAACCACCATAAAAAAATAAGGGCAGGCTTGCCCTCCTCTTTTTGCTACGCTGGTAAAAATTAATTAGTACTGTACTGCTAACCTCGGATCCTCCGACGTCTCGAGTCCATGCATAAAGATTTGCAAATTTTTGTAGTGTGTATGGGAATGAGATCATCCGGAGCATCAAATGTTTAAATGAATTTCAGATCAATGACTGAAATTTGCTTGGGCTCAACTCGACTGATCCCCACCGTTAATTGTTCCCCTGCAGCCGTAAACAAAAATCTATTTCCGTAGAAATGATGAGTACTACTGCTAGCCAGTAATACATTTGGAAAATAATTCATTTCATAACCACATCTATTTCTCAGATATACTACTATTTTGTATCCTTTTCCCTCCCAAAAATCAATCCCCCCCCCCCCTCTGCAATCATCATCAGCCCTTTTCTTGAAGGGTGAAGCCGGGCCGGGTTAAAAGGGTCTTCTTTTCTGTAGATGGGGGGTGTTAATTTTTTTTTTTTATTATGGCCAGTCTCTTCTCTTTTGGTCCGTTTCTCCTTCACCTGTGTCGTCCTTTCTTTCCTTTCTTTTAGAGAGGAGAGGAAAAGGAAAGAAAGAAAAATCACGTGGAAGGAACTAGTATATATAATAGTTTCAGTCGAGCAAGAAAAGCATGAAGTGTCCCTCATAAAACTCAATGCACAAGCAAACAAAAAAGGAAAAAGGAGAAGAGGAAGAGGAGAGGAAAGCATAAGTGGTGGTTTGGGATCTGGGAACCTAGAATCTCTGTGTAAGGAGTAAACCGGCTGCAATTGGTGTATACAGCCGAATGGTGAACTTAGACACAACAATTAAAGAAGCCGTCGGAATTAATTAGCAGACAGCGGCGAGAAGAGAAGACCCGTATCAAGACTACAACAGGGTTTATGACTGACCAAGTGCTTTTCTTGACAAAGAAGGGTAAGAGTGTATATTATAGCGATTTCATCACGTGTATAAAATAAAAAAATATATATTTATAAAAAACTTTACAAATTTTTTTAAGGAAAGTTAAGTAATTTCATATAACTTAAATAACATGTAGTTCAACTTTTCGTAGTATTATCTAACCGATGTCACGTAGTGGATTACTACTGGATCATGTAAGTGACGGTCAGATGATATTTACTACTTGTATAGTAAGTAGACAACAATAAATGATATGCTTCTGCTTCTCGGGCGGGTTTCCACTTTCCACTTTGCACCAAAGAAAGATCATAAAAAGCTGAATAATGGGTTGTGTTTTCAGGGAGGGTGCTCTTTAAAGCTGTACTGTTATAGGTGAAAGAATGTACGAGTGGGTGGTGGTGCATAATAATTTGGGGAGACGGAGAGATGAGCGAGCGAAGCCGTACTAGGAGTAGAATGTTTGATGATCAAATGGCAGTGGTGCTCGGGAAGCTTGGAGACGACGATCCTTGTGATCAGGAGGAGGAGGAGGAGGGCCAAAGCACGTTGTTGGACCGGTACGAGAGGCTCTCCTTCGAGGTTCATTTGAAACAGGCCATGCTGGGGAGGAGTCTGTCTGAGCCATCATCATCTGCTGTGGCCAGGACAAGGGCAGCTGGCAGTGGCGCGGCCCAAAAGGGCAAACAAGGTGGTGCAGCGGCCGGACACCGTAAGTCTGCAATTCACAGAGTTGTCAGGATGCTGATCAAGCCATTAGTTGTGGGCACGAGCAGGGTGTTTGCGAGAAAGGATGGTGTTCGGTCGTCGTCAACTCCGGTCGTACAAGGGAAAGACCACCGCAGGTACCTGTGGAAGGCGGCATTCAGTAGATCTATGCGGGGGGTTTGATCTTGGATGAACCCATCATTCATTCATGCGTATCTGCTTCTCACCCATTCGCCTCCTTCACTCAACAATCTCTCTACTCTCTACTCTCTACCTACCTAAAAAGGGCAAAGCAGAGCCCAACAAAATATTTTTACTACCATACAAATGAACAAGTGATCTACTAAATGGACCGCTTTTTTGGTTATTTTCTTCTCTTTTTTTTCCAGTATGAAATTCATGTGAAAATCTATCTATTATGGGAAATTACTTTAGAACATGAGTATCGTCATTATAAATATGAAAACTATTAACAACAAAACCTGAGCTGATTACTCTGCCTTGTTAAAGTAGCAAAGGTAAAAATGACATATATAGTCTGAATCTCTCTTTTTCCGACAAAAAAGAAAATGAAATATATATACACAAAATAACACAAAATAACATGTGTATTCCCATTTTGTCTTCTACATACATGTTTTATTTGACACTCTGATTGATTGCTGAGTTGAAATGTTAGTTGGTGCTTGCAAATGTGTATGGATCAGCGCTTAAACAGAGGGGTGGTGCCACCGAGAAAGCTGCTTCTGTAATTCGAGTGGAACCGAGCCACAGGCCTGGCGCTTCTCATCCACATAAACAAATTTCCATAAAAATGTCAGCAGCCAGCGCTTGGTCGTCTTAACTCGTCGATTCAGAATGAAAATCAGAGGTCACCTCTTTTTGTTGGGGGGGGGGGGGGGGGTTGCCATGTTCTGTGATCAACCTTTTCTTTCTTTCTTTTTCTTTTTTTTTTTTCTTTTGAGGATTTTGTATCAAAGAAATTGCACTGAATATGGCCAAGTTCTGAGTTACAAACAGTTTTGCAGTAACACATCTCATGATTTAATGCCAGAAAGAAAAACTACTACCAGCGTCTTATCCTTTAGGAGGCTTCGCAACATCAAGCGCTTGTTGCATCAGAGACAGCTTACCAACCATAGAAAAATCACAGTACTGCTTTCACAGAGGAAGCCCAAGCGGGCATGTTCGCTCTCCTCAAATCCAAAAGGGCAAGTCAAAGCCGCAGAAGAAACATAAACCAAAATTCTAGCCTATTACGAGAATGATCTCATAACAACCTACGCACGACTCATGTACTGCCCGGTTCTCGTATCCACCAAAATTTCCTCGCCCCTCTCAATGAACAAGGGAACGCTGACGACAGCACCAGTGTCAAGAGTTGCTGGTTTTGACCCACCTGCCAGACCGCTCCAGATTACAATTGCACAAACAAGAACAAGAAATGAATGAAAAAAGTAATCCACCTCCGAATACAAACGCAAGTGAAACTAATCACTCCCACGGATTAAGCATGCATCTTCTAACTACAAAATCTTAACTTGTGCTTATTCATTAACTCTTGACATTTGACAATCTAACAAATTCACTAGAGACCATATAACCCGAGAACCAGGATATCTCTGTATTTACAATCTATTTTAGAAGCTTACAGTGCCTGAGTGGGGAAAGGTTTGTTCTCCCTATTGGATGGGAAGCTCTGTAACATCAAATGGCGACTGAAAATTAATTTTCCACCCTTTCATATGCCGTTTCTGAACCAACCAGGGGGAATTGGTTCTGAATCAGTAAATGGCAGGTTCTGCCTCAATCAAGCCAACCTCAAAGTTGAGTTCTGTTTTTATTATCTCTCACTGAGGATGTACAAAATTAGACAACCACTCCCTCAAATGCTGATTCAGCCTCACCACAAAATTTTACATTCAGAGGAGGCAATAAATTTTGTCTAGAGTTGTTTCGATCGAGCTCATCAGCACTTTGCACTTCAACATTAGGTTTTTGGATGGAGCATGTTATCTTAAAAGCCAGTATCCGGTGCATTAAGTCTTGGGATAGAATGCAATAAAAATAAGAAATAAAAAATAAATCCATGTATGTATAATGCAAAGCATTTCTACTCTTCATCCACTTGTTGCTTCCACTGCTGAAAACCACCCTCTCCCAGTCTCCTACAATGCCCATGAATACCAGAGCAGGTACTGTGTTGGATGTTAAAGGGGAGGAATGAAAGTAAAAACAAAAGGAAGAAGGGAGAGAATGGTCATGGATGAAGCAGGAAAGGGTTATGAATAAGTGGTTAAACCTTTACAAAGAACATTCCTTAAATGTCCCCAATAGTAAGACATGCAAATGACAAAATCATCCGCCCAAACACTTTGAGGCTGTGTGCAACATGATTAGCAATTCCAGAAATGTCAAATCTTTCATCTCTTGAGAAAAAAAAAATCTAAGGCCTGAAATTAGATTTAATCCAAATGTGAGGGATCGGCCAAGTAATTTCTTAAATCTAATTTTTCTATCCTTCTGCCCACCTGATCACCAAACACTAACAATATTTGTATGTTATCACCCTAGGGATCAATTATGCCTTTTCTACTATCATCAGCTTATTTATTACTTCGATAAAGGAACAAATTAACCAAGAAAAGAAGTAACTACCATTACCTTGAGCCGTGTCACCTCTCACACCAGGATCAACATCAACCACAGTCAACTTCACTGTGATGGGAAGTTCAAAATCAATGACCTAATTAAAAAGAGCAACATTAACCAGCTGGCTAGCAATGATGACAAGAATTTCCATTTCACAAATAAGATAGTAACTTGTGATATCAAGTGTCCAAATTACTTTTCCCTTCCAAAATAGCAGATTACAGTCCATGCCTTCTTTCAGCCATTTCATTTTATCTCCAACATCAGCCTCATTGAGACGAAATTCTTCATATGTGGTCTGCAATATAGTTGAACAAAACTTCATTCCTTAGTTGTAGTAGAGGAATATGAATCTTATGCTTATGACAACTATCTGTTGAACAAACTAGGAAAACAAGTAAAACAGTACCAGGTCCATGAACACAAATTGAGAACCATCCTTGTAAGTGAATTGCTTCGTTTCCTTAAATATGTCTGCCTCTTCTATCTGTCGTAACAGTTTTGTGTTAAGGAATGTACAAACAAATCAAGAAGAAATATGTTAGAAGAAACTTGTGAAATTTGTCAGTGTCAACATTAAAACCAAAACCAAAAAGTGTTCAGAATTGGCACTTTATGAATGAAGTAGCTAGTGCAGTCAATAACATGGGCAATCTATACTTGTTTAGATATTACTTGCCATTACTAAGTGAAGTAAGAACCCTACTTGCCTAAACAAACTTAAAGCTTTACCAAAGTTGACCTTCTCAAAGAAGACGCATTTGGTCATCATCTTGATATAATTTATGCTAATTTTCAAAAAATGTAATGCACGCAGCCTTGTAACATCATAAGGAATCCTGTTCTAAATTTCCAAGAGGATAACAAAATCTTAGGGTCTGTTTGTTTGGAAGGAAAATATTTTCCAGAAAATGTTTTCCTGATTTTCTATTGTTTGGTTGGGTTATCGCTTTGGGAAAATTTTTTCCTACCGAAAATAGTTTACATCAGATGGTGTAAAATGACTTCCCATATAAATGAACTGAAGTTATTTTCCATGTCCGCCTCGTAAGTCGTAAGACTATCCATTCAAGCTCCCCCACCAACCTTAAGATTCAGAACAAAACCCACCATTTGTGCAATAGCTCACTAAAGATTTGTAGTCTCCATCTCCTCCCAAACACCAGAAAAAACATGGAGAAGGTAATTATTTTCCTCGATAAAATTTTTCATGGAAGACATTTTCCGTTGAAAATATTTTACATTGAATCAAACGGACCATTAAAGTAAGATATTTTCTTCCAACTGTCTTACAAGGCCAAATCAACCCAGTTGTGGTAAACTAAGATGGAAATATCTACAGGAGAGAGTTAAATAACGTGGATCAGTAACCATGCCAGCGATGAACCAAAAGCTTCACTCCTTTATTGGTACAATGTAACACACCATATTAGAGGCACAAAAACAAGCCAGTTATCAAAATACTACCTTGCTACCAGCTCGAAAAGTTTTCTCTACCGTGTTTCCTGTTACATAATTCCGCAGTGTGGTCCTTACATATGCAGCTCCTTTTCCAGGTTTCACATGGAGGAACTCTAAAGAAGGGAGAAAATTAAGAAAATGTTAAAATTAACATGGGAAAACGGAATGGAAGGATGACAAGCTATGTATATGGAAATGATCATTTTTTAGAATTTCAAGTTGTTTACACTAAAACCACATGAGACCAAAGCTACGAGTCAAAATCCCAATGATGTCCCAGTCTTCAGCTAGTAAAACAATTTCCCTCTGTAACTGAGGATGCTGTACAATTTGAAAGAGATTCCAAGTGACAAAGGCGGATTTTGAAAAACTTGCATTGGAACTGAAAGTGAGAATTTCCCCTACAAGTACCATTGCATTAGCATTTATGTCCTACATAACGCTCCACAAAATGAGTTCACCGATCCACAAAATGAATTGACCGATCCAATCTTCTGACAACCATTCGCCCTAACATCACCATCTAATGCTTATATGTCCATGGATGTGCCATGAAGAAAAGTGCCACTTTCCTACTCTTCTACTAAATGCTGGATGACTACACTTTTTTTTTTTTTATCCACTAAAAATGATAGCAAACAAAAATGATAGATAAACTTGAATGTGTCGATTGTTCACGTATCCACTAAAAAAGAAAAAGTTGACAGAGTTTCCAGTGGCAAAATCAGTAAAATAAAATACGTTCGCATGAATAGCAAGCAACATGTTAGTCCTAAGCACAGCCTAAGTATCTGAAGCAGCATACACAGATCACAGGTGCTGTAAGACATTAGCCCAGGCAAATAAAGAAAGCACTCAATTTTAGGTTTTACAATCACAACTACGCTCATTGGGAATGGCGACTGCAAGAACAAGCAGCGAAGAACAAGACAAAATGAAAACAAAAAAAGACAAGGAGTAAGAGGAAGAAAGGCTACTGAGTTACCTATGACTCTCCAAGGCGAGCCATCTACCTCAATATTGGAGCCCACTTTGATATCATTGCTAGAAAATGCAAAGATTTCTGCGGAGAAGAAAGAAGGGGGAAAAAATAATTCTCTCCGGTTTTCTGTATAGAAAGGAAAACAAGCCTGGCATATGTAGCGAATAACGGAGAAAAAAGAATGGTAATGGAAAAAGAGTTACTAGTAGTACTTGGGAACCTTGGGGGGGGGGGGTTGGGGGGATACTATATCCAAACATAGGCACTCCGACCCGGACTCTTCTTTCCACCCCGTTTTGTGTGTTGTTTGCAAAAAGACGAAAAAGCCGCATTTAGCAAATACTACAACTCATTCCGGTGTTGATTGATTTGCGCTTTTGCCTCGTCAACATATTTTAAAATTTTTTATTTTTATTTTATATATATCATATAAAAAAGGTGTTGTGTTATTTTTTTTAAAAAAAAAATAATCCAAATAATCTCCTATCCGAATGCACAATGCATTTGCTGAGCATATATTTCACCTTTTGAGAAGAAGTTTGAAAACCATTCACCTTTTGGGAATCCTTTTTAAAAGATGGCACTTACTATTTGGGAATTTGCTTTTCTATTGTTGAACTTAGCACCATTTGGATGAAGATGTATTTTGTCAATTTATGGAATTTAACGGTAAACTTTAGATGCCGTTACTAACAATAGGGCCTAACCTCTAGTGTTGATTGATTGTTTAGTTGAACCCATAGTTATTAAATTCGGCCCAATTCGACGGTTCAATCAATCAATCTGACTAACCGTTCATAAAATCAGGTCGATTTTGCAATTGGATCGTTTGTGTAAGAAAATCGTTGACTTTTCAATGGACTAGCGGTTCAATCTGCCAACTCGGTTGAACCGAACGATTTTTTAAGGAGCCCGATTTTAAGTAAAAAAATGTTTACCAAATGTTGGTAAAAAATTTTTCGAACCTCGGATGTCAAATATAAGGACTAAGCGTGCTTATCACTAGCCCATTAGCTCATTTGGTGCTTTTTGCCCCTTCTATATTATATATTAAAGTTTTATTCTTATTTTGTTTGGAATCTTTTAATAAAATTTTATTATTCCCTAAATTCTATAAATTATGAAATGGATTTAAAAAAATAACATATTACACAATTCATTTTAAAGACAAATATTATTCTTAATAACCTTTTGCACTTAAAATTCGTAAATAAACTAGATAATTACACTTCGATAAAATTTTATACTTGAAGTTTGGTGGATTACTAATTAAATTTAGATTTTGTTAATTCTTATAAGAATTAATGATTCTATAATAAATTGGACTAATTGAGTATCTACTTGTTTATTATAGATTTAACCATATAAAAAATTATAAAATTATCGATTGGACCATTCATCCCACCGGTTAAACCAGTAATCCGTTGACCCACCTCTTTCATCGGATTCTTCTCCGGGTTAGGTTTAATAACTATGTTTGAACCTCAACAAAGGTAAACGTCATTCTAAGGACTCTTCATCATCCTAATTTACCACAATAAAAACCCCAAACATTAACTGCCGGTAATAATTTATAGTAGCGATCTAGATTTTTCTCCTTGTAATATTATGCATCCTCTCCTCCCCGCTCCTGGGTCCTGGCCATCCGACCAAAGCCCAGGAAGATACATATGGAGTTAGATACAGACGATAGTGGCCCAGTGGCAGTACGTAAAAGTGGTTTGCAAGCTAAGGCTCTCGGGAAGGAATGAAATGGAAGATGTCATGATTAAGAAAAAGAAAGAAAATACCGAACACTGCTGAAAAAGAAAGGTGGGCGACCTGTATCCTTCCCCCGTCCACTGGCGGATTCTTGAAGCAACACTCCTCCTCTCTCTCTCTCTCTCTCTCTCTCTCTCTCTCTGCTTTTGCTTTAGTGCCATGCGAGATCATTGCACTAGCTTTGTTTCAAGAAATTGTTACAGTTGACATATTTTAGACTAAAATAAATAGATAAATACCTTCTCTCATCCAATTCCCTGCTAAACCCAAAGGGTACCGGGTAGTGGGCAGTGTGGAGTTCTCTACCTCTCGTAAATCAGCAGCCCCCCCTGCTCTGCTCTGCTCAGCTCCTAAGCTGCTCCGCGCCTTAGAAAAGTCTTTGGAGCAGACGCTACTACTAGACTACTGACTTACTGAGCCAAGAATCCCCAGTTCCCCATCCCCAAGGGGCCGCTGTTTGAGGAGTCTGCATATCTTTAGTTTGACGTATCTCCCTTTTATTTTTATTTTTATTTTTCCGTTTTCATTACTACTTAGTACTGGCAGTAATTAAATTCAAGATTTTGGCTTTGTTATGATTCATTGGGTTTGAGGGGATCGGGGTATTACTCATACATACTACCTTGCCTACCAACAGAACATATACGGTTGTTTCCTCTGCTCAACTACTGCTGCTGCTATTAGATGGTTTCAATCGTTTGTGTTGTTTTGGGACAAGCCTATATGTATTACCCCCAGTAGTAGTAGTAGTAGTAGTATTGAGGAGGTGGTGTGAAGGAAGACTCGTGGAGCAATGGATTCCAAGGTATGCATGAACCAGCAGTGCACTTCGTCCTCATCCTCGTCTTCAATTGATCTCAAAAGGGGTTGGCCTTTACGATCCGGTGGCTTCGCCACTCTCTGTCACCATTGCGGGTAGGTAATCCTTTTCCTTACAACTTTTGTTCTAAACACTCTTCTGCAATTCTCTCTTGTGCCAGCCAAACTGCAGCCGTATTTTAGGCACGAGTAAAGATGTGCAAATTGTGTTTCCTTTACTAAAAGACAGTCCAGAACCCCCTTATGTACAGTTGTATACAATGAATACTAATCTCATCTACTGTGGGTAGTTGGCTTTTCTGCAGTTGATTTTGGACACTTTGAATAACCGGCTCTTCCTTTGTGATTGGTTGAATTTCGACCTTGTAGATTTCAGTGGTTTGTTCTATAAGGCTACCATCCTTTTGGCAGAAGAATAATTTCTGGGTGAGGTTGAGGACTATGGGTTTAGAAGTCCTGGGTTCAAATCTCCCCTTCCCCTTCCCAGCTTCTTCAATCTCACCTTTCCCCTGCTGAAAAAAATTTTAAAAATTAATTTGTGGCTGTCCCCAAATTTTGATGATTCACTTTCTGAGTCTATTACACAAACACTACTACCGGGTTCAACCTTGGACCTGAGTCTGTGCGGTTTGTCTATGTGTCCTTTATTTTTGTTGCTTTGATAACCCAACTAACTTTGCCCAAAAGGAGTTTTGGGTTCCTGAGAAAAGAAGATATTAGTTTACAAAACTTGTAATCCATGTGCCCAGACCAGACCAGACCCAAGTTCCAGTTTTTTAGTCAACCATATCTTGCATTTTGACCAGTCAAAAGTTTTTTCTACCTCTTATATAGAATTCAAATGTCTTTGACATTTAACACAATGGGTATCTTTATCTTAGGATGATGTTTTAGTTTACACATTATAGTTTTCTTTGACTTTCCTACATTTTGGGCTGATAAGTATACACTAGAAAAGACATGACCTAAGCATCTGGATTGACTGCAGCATTGCTTATGAACAATTAGTCTTCTGCGACAAGTTCCACTCAAACGACTCTGGTTGGAGGGAATGCACAACGTGTGGTAAGGTGAGCTGGTTGAATATATTCTTTTTAGCCTGCATGTTGTAACATTATGCTGCAAAAAGTAGTTGGTTGATTAACTCTGCCTCCCCTAGAACAATGTTTTCTCTGTAAAACTATGCCACAAAAAGTAACTGGTTTCAACAATGGCAGCGTCTTCATTGTGGATGCGTTGCGTCTAGCTCTTGGCTCGAGCTACTTGACAGTGGTGGTGTAAATTGTATTAGCTGCTCGGAAAGTCATGGAATTTGCTCTGTAAGATCAACCGATGCACATTCATAGTTGAACTCAGATGTTACACCAAATAGGGGCTTTAGGATTTTGGGTTTTCCATACCTGCATTTCCCCCCTGTTTTTTCTATATTTTGATTTCTGCACACCTGTGCTTCCTTCCCCACTTTTCTACGTTATAATTCTTGTACTTGAATTGGAAATACATCCTGGTGGATGGGATCATCGAGTATAGCAAGATGCCAACCATTGCAGAGATTCAGGATAATCAAGGGTAGGGGGAGCACCCAACTTTGTTGAGAATCTCTAATTCAGATGGTCAAGCTTTTCAAGGCGAATTCCATGTAATTGGAATAATAGTTGGTGTCTGTCTCCATCTCTAAAATCTCTAGTCTTGATTCAAGGGCTTAGAGGATCTAATAAAATGACTTTAGGGCCAGGACGAAATTTGGGTGTTTTACGCTGAAAACCCATCGCATGACTCTTGGTTATGGTTATGGGCAAGATTCGATTATTTCAGAAGCATTACTTCTAAAACAGTCAATTTCTAATGGCACAACTTTTTCTATCGGTTACATTATTGAAATTGTCAAGGGATTTTGAGCTTAGTCAGCTACTTTCCTTCTTTTCATTCATTATTATCCTTTAAGTTGGAGTCTGTGATGCTTTCTTCAGAATTGAAGTGATAAGTTGACTCTGAATGTTAATGCAGACTTTGACTGGTGAAAAAAATAAAGATTGCAGAGTATTCTCAGCAGATGATGGCGGGGGAAAGCAATTCACTACTGTGGGCAGTCAGTCAAATGTTGGTATTACTGACAAGATGAAGCTTGTTCAGTTCGGTGATGATGCAGGCAGTAGTGACCAATCACAGTTGTTTCTGTCTCAGACAGATGATAGGATTGAGTCTCTTGGGCAGAGGAAAATGAAAGAAAATTTTCTTACATCAGGAGAATTTGGAAGCCCCTTTTTGTCAGTTTTAAATCAGACATCAGTTGAAGCAGCTCAAAATGCCCAATTAAATGAATATAAGGAATATATGCCGATTAAAGATACTCACGGTTCATCAGTTCAAACAAATTTAACTATATCACCTCCTGCTACATCAGGAGATAAAAATTTTTTACCTGCAGTGGTTGCTGAAGAAAGGCCACTAAACAAGAAGAGTTCTTCCTTTTCGCAGGGGTCTAGATCTCGCCATCTCTTGCCCAAACCTGTAAAATCTATTATGGCTGCAGGCTTGGAGGCAAATGTTAGCTCACTTACCCAGTTAAGGGTGGCAAGACCACCTGTTGAAGGAAGAATTAAGAACCAGTTGCTTCCTCGTTATTGGCCCAGGATAAC